CGGCCGCCTTCAATACACCACCAATACACGATCAATACATGATCAATACACCACCAATACATGATCAATACACGATCAATACCCCACCAATGTGTATGTTTAACAGATCTTCCAGACTCCAAGGAGGTAAGTTTGAGCTTCATGAGAACCAACTGAGCCTCCAGCTGAAGTTCAGCCGGTTTGGTTCCACAGATGTTGAACTGAAGGTTCCTCAGAAACACTAAAGAGTTCAGACAGTCCAGACACAAACATCAGAACGTGGCAGGTCCGTCTGTCAGAGAACCGGCCAGAACCAGAACCTCAGACACCTGCACAACACTCAGTACTGACCCCTGGAACCGCTTGAATACCACAAGAACTCCTCAAAGACTCCTGGACCCCAACACTAAAAACCCCAAAGAGTTTTCAGGCCTCATGAACCCCATCAGGAACCCAGTCAGAACCCTGAGACCGCCAGAGAACCATCACGTCACTGCAGCTCCCTGAAGAGGCCTGAGGTCTCTGAAGGAACCATGGGATCTTTAGAGAACCCGGAGCTCTCCGACCCCCCTGGAGGACAGGTGCGACTCACCTTGCTGTGGTACTTGCCCCGCCCCTTGTAGGTGTCGTCCATCATCAGACTGGACAGGATGTCCTGCAGCTTCATCTCTGATAGGCTGAAACACAACAAGCCCCGCCCACACGTCACAACCAAGAAACACTGTCAGCAGTTTGTCAGAAGGTGATTGGCCGTGGCGGCTGTCAGTCAAAGACCTGATGTTGTGGTTGGCCAGCTCGGTGATGAAGGCGGTCTCAGCGGGGGTGAGGAAGAGGAGGCTGCTTCCTCGTCCTCCGATCCGAGCCGTTCGACCGACGCGGTGAACGTATTCCGCCGCCGCCGTCGGAGGCGTGTACTGCAAACACAACGCTGCGCTCTGATTGGCTGCTTCACCTCAAACAAGTCCAGTTCAGTTAACATGTAAACCACTGACTGGAGGACAAACACAGGTGAGCTCACCTGAACTACCGCTCTGATCCAAACGTATGTATGTGTAACACCTTAATGTGTACTGTGTCAAGTACTGCAGTACTGCAGGTGCGCTTACCTGAACGATCCAGGTGACCTGAGGAAGGTCCAGACCTCTGGCTGCCACATCCTGGAACAAACACACGTACTGATACCACACAGCAGTAGTACTTCATAGCAGTAGTACACGCCGTGTGTACTGTACACCAGCAGTACGCACAGCAGTACTACTTGCAGTAGTACTTTTAGCAGTACTTTGAGCAGTATTTTAGCAGTACTTTGAGCAGTACTTTAGCAGTACTTTGAGCAGTA